TTCAGTGCTGTTCTCTGAAATACATTCTTCTGGGGGGAGGGGCAGATATCCACGTAGTTGGGATTGTGGCCGGCCCCTCAGACTCCTCCACTAGTTCCCAACTCCATGCCGGCATGTTGCATTCACATTTTGGAGCACCTGGTTGAAGTCTGGTCCCTCTTTCCCCGTGGATATAAAAAATACCCTCCCCTTGGGTGGGTTAGTGCCCTGTTCCCCGGCTACCCATTTCTTTTTTCTTTTTTTCCTTTCCCCCACGCCTTTTTAGTTGGCTACCATATGTATCCGTGGATTTGGTCTGGCCCCTGCCATGCTACCTGGTCCTCGCCCCATGGCATTCATTCCTATCTCTATGCATCTACTCCCTCTGTGCTTCACAACCTGGAGAACCCAACAGAAACAAGGAGAAACAGAAACAAAATTAAGTGGTAAGGGTAAAAAAATAATAATACAAAGATAAAAATACAAACGATGCATAAGAAAGAAAAGACCACCATCAGTATTTAAAAGGCCAGGGAAGAAATTTTCATCATGGAGCAAGCAAGAAATACTTGTGCCCAGAACAACTTCGGGTTGAGTTAAGAGGCGTCAACTGACCCCATACCAAGTTCAACCCCCTGTAACCATGGTTACAATGAATTCCGATAGTAAAGATGTTTGAGACCCTTGCCTGTGGCCAGAGGAGATCCGCCAACAGCTTAATCTGACTGGATGCTCTGCAGATCGGGTTTTGGCTTCCCACTGTCCTCCACAGCCTTCCACAAATTGGTGTTCGCAAATTTAGGCTCTGATACTTTCCCCTTGATCATCTGTGAATTCTGTTACTGTCGTCTTGGATCGCACAAGCTGGTGTGCTTCTTCCACGTGGACTTAGCTGAGACGGCTGTTTGAATACAAGCCTTTAAGACGCGTGACACTATTTGGATTGATAGCCGGGCACCATCTGCTTTATTCACCACACTTTGCAGTCGCACCCAGATATTCAGTGACCATTTCATGAAGGTGAGTAGCGAGCAGGGCCCTGTTATCAGAACAAACTGTTTTTGGAGTGGGGCTAGAGTTCAGTGGGGCCCCAGAAACCATCTGTTTGTTCCTGGGGTATGCACGACTCAGGTTGACCTTGGCGGTTGTATTATGACAAACTCAAAACCCCGGACGACTAATTACCCCAACAACAGCAACCAACCAACTAGCAGACAACAAAAGACAAGCAAACGAAGGTATCAAAACAAAAGCCCATAGAAACAGAAAAGTGAAACATCACCTGGGGCATAAGGCGATCGCACTGGTAACGTAACTAGTTACTCCAATGACACAGTACTTGGGACACTGTCAGTAGTACACTTCCATGGATAGTCAAAACCCAGGGATTGTTGCTTCACACAGTCCGTCTCCCATTCGATTGAGCTCTGTGTACCCTAAGCATGAGGATTCCGGCCAGGAGGAAACTTCCTGGATCCATTCTACAGCTCCCTGCCCCACAAAAGTTCAGATCTCTGCTCAACCGATCAAAGCCTGTCATGCCACTTTGGGGTGGGGGGGCTCCTCCATTCTTTACCAGGCCAATGAATAGCTTTCATGTAGCCCCCAAGCCATTCAGCACTCATCCACACCAGGCCCCTCTGACTCAGGCTCTGAGCTGATACCGAGGGCTCTAGGGACCAGAGATACACCAGACAGAGCCCTGGCCTCCATGGCGGTGCAGAAGTGCCTCAAGGTGTCTTTACTCAAACATCTCTGTTGGGCTTCATGTTTAAAAACAGGTAGTATTGGTCCTCCCTGGGGATGGGTACTAGGTCGGGAAAGTACTGCAGAGAAACCCACCGCCTTCCAGACCTTCCTCACAGCGACACTATGGGGCCCAGTGCAGCTGTTCCTTTGTAGTTCTGAGGCTGCTAAGTCCTTAAGTGAGGTTAGCAGCGCGACACTTAACCCTCTGCGCCATCAGGGCTCCTTTTGAACCGAGAGGCGCTCTTTATTTTCAAATCCTCAATTTTCACCTGATTGCTTACTGAAATCGGAGTGTTTGCCAGCACCCAACACTCACTTCTGGGCGCTGGGTCTAGAAACTGGGTAGGGAAAGAGTACAGGGCGGTCGGCGTCCCTATCACCCTCAGGGTCGGGGTCCACCCATCTAGGGGACTCCATTACTGCTGAATCCCCTCATGGGGAGCCTCGCCCCGACCCCGCCTTTCCCTTCTTGCCCCAAACGTCTCCCAGAAGTTCGCTTCCCCTCTCACTCCATCAGGGTTCCAGGTTACTGCCATACAGGTTAGCCCTCCCCTTTGGAAGAACGCCCCCCACCCCTCCATTGTCCTCTCTCCTGCCGCACCTCTCGGCTGTCTGCCCCGCCCTCTCCGAGGTAGAGTACGCGTTCCGCTGAGCGCCGCTCTTTTCCTGCTCTCTGATTGGCTCCGGCGGCTCGATGGCGCGGGGCCGGGGAGGGGGAGCTGGAGCCAGCCCCGCCCCCTTTCCCGTGTCCCGGAGGCGGGACCCACCTTGACCCCGCCCCTCCCGGGCGGGGCCGCATGCGCCGGCGCTCGGGCGCTGGGCGGCGCTCTGCGCTGATCCCGCTCGGGCTGCAGCTCCTGTGGGGGTGGGCGGCGGGGATGACAGCGGCGGCGGCGGGGGCGGCGCGGGGCTGAGCGAGCGGCGAGCGGCGAGCGGCGAGCCGGGGACGAGGAGGAAGTGGAGCGGCGGCCTGGAGCCCCGGAGCAGCCGCCGCGCCGAGGTCCACCCTGTTTTGCAGAGCGAGCAGAGTCCGGACGGGAGCAGACTTCCCCGCGGAGCTCCGACCTCCGCGGTCCCTGCCGGTGCGCTGCCCGGCTGCCCGGCCTGCCCCCGCCCCGGGCTCCGCGCCGGGACGCCCGAACCCCACTGTCCGGCCTGTCGGTGCTGGCTCGCCCCCCGCCCTCCGGCCCGGAGTTCACGCGGGGCGCTCCCAGAGCCTCCACCTGGTGCAGAGGCTGCAGGACGCGCCCAAGCCGCAGACCTCCGGCTGCCTGGGACTCGGGCGTCGGACTCCGGACCGCGTGAGCAGCGCCCGGCGAGTCCCTGCCCGACTCCAGCGCCCCGCGAGGGGTTGCGGGCAGTCAGGACAGTCGAACTGAACCGGGCCGGTGCTGCTGCTGCCACCTTCCTTTCGCCCCTGCGAGGCGCTCAGCCCGTGTCCCAACGCGGACCCCCTGCCCCGGCGGCGGCGAGGTCCGAGAGCTGCAGGTGAGAGAGCCCGGATGCCTGGCCAGGGCGGCCCCCAGCCCCACGGGGCCGCGCAGGGGCGGCTGCGGGTGGGAGGGAGACGGGAAGAACCGGCACTCATTGTGTTGGTGGTCCGCGCCCCTCCCTTGCTCATGCGGCTCCCTGGCTGAGACGCATGCATGGCCGCTCCGATGGGCCCTTACCGAGGGGGAAACTGAGGCTCGGCCAACCGAGGGACCTTGCGCTTTTCACTGTCGAGTGAGACCCAGGAGACACAGTCGGGCAGGAGATTAAGTGTGTCCATAGGCCATTGGAACAGCCAAGAGCGGAGTGGGGGAGAGGGTCTTTCCATCTCTTTCCTTTCCACGCCCTGGCCTGTCACCTCCTTGGAAAGGTGGCCAGGCGTTGAAGGCAAAGACAAGAAGTCTCCCAAACCAGTAACCTCCCTCCCTGTGGACCCGGGAATGGAAGAGCGGGCCCCCTCCCTGGGCCCTGGGTGGAGACAAGCTCTGGGTGTATACTACACGCACCGGGTTCTCTGATAAGACCCTGGAGGTCTGCGATGCCGTTTAGCTGGGGTGGGGGGTGTGACCACTGGGCACACACACAGCTCTGCACCTTCCTCTTACTAATGGGGACACTGAGGTCCAGAAAGGGGGTGCCAGTTGCCCTAGGTCCCAAGGTAAGCCAGAAGTGGACTTAAGCAAACCTTCCCAAACACTCTTCAAGTATCCACTTCCCCTTCCCCGTTAGTGTTTTTCTGGGTGGCTGGGGTTTTCCCCCACCCTGAGGTGAGGCTGTGTGAGAGTCAGGGTGGTCTGTGCTGGGGGCAGAGATAGACCAGCAGCCGCAGGGCCGCTGGCCAGACTGAAGGTCCCAGCTCAGCCTCTTCTGGCAGGAGAGCCTGCAGAGGCATCTCTGGCCCAGGAGGGGAAAGGCTGGCTCAAGGTCTCCTGGGGGAGGGGGTGGCTGCTGCCAGGGCACAGGCACAGCCCCAGGTGCTGGGCTCCCAGGGTGCAGGGAGAGAGGCATTGTGAAAGAGTCCATGGTATGAACTCGGGCGCTTATTCTGGAGGGGAAGGGAGAGGAGGAAAGTGGCCTTGGTGTGCGGCCTGTGGCCTTGGGTAGGACTGGCTAACCCCTACTCTGCTCAGCTTCCTCCAGGGAAACTACCTTGGAAAGCCCCAGGAGGTGGAGGGAGAGGCTGTATGCTTAGGCCCCAGGGAGAGGAGGGCTTGGGGAAGCCTGGAGTAGAAGGTGACTGAGGGGCTGTGGGAACTCCCCCTTCTCCCATGGGGATCCAAATCCTTGGACTAATCCTTGCATGTGAACAAAGCTGCTCTTTGATGAAATCAGTTCATACCTGTGATCTCATTTCACGGTGTGCCGGAAAAGAGCCTGGAACTGGCAGCAGGCAGAGCAGGGATGAGTCCTTGGCCCAGAGCCTCACCTGTAAAATGGGGTTAGGGGTGCAGTGTGTAACCCCTTCTGAGATAGTGGGGTGCTCACGTCCTGCAGGCTGTCAAGCGCTAAGAAGGGCATGGTTGGTTTTGCCAGGATTGGGCTTGTTATTAATGGCCTGTGTGGGAAACTGAGGCTCGGAAATGACCTGTCCAGGGCCCTTGTGTTTGTGCCAGGAACTGACTGGGCATTGGCTGCAGACCAGGCGCCCTACAGGTGCCCAGCTGTAAAAGCAATGTAACCCCTGGGTCCCAGTTGCAACCTGGGAGCTTAATAACTGGTGAGAGGTGGCCCAGGGTCAGCCAGGCTGACCAGGCGGCGGCAGGTGGCCCTGGGCAAATCCCTTCACATCTCTGAGCTCCAGCCTGTAGCATCTCTTCTGGAAAACCCAAACACTTCCTGTCCAGGGTGCTTGTGAGGATTAAACGAGCTACACAACTTTAAAAAAGATAGGGCCTGACCAAGTATCCGCTTGTTTCCCTAACGAGGACAGTGGAGCTTGACTTCTGACCCGGGACATTCTTTTAAACACACCTGAGAACAGCTCCAGTCTTGCCTCGGATTAGATGGCAGGGTGCTGTGCCGAGGCCTGAGACACAGAGGGGCCCAGCTCAGACTCCTGTGGGCCAGACCTCTGTGCCAGAGCCCCGCCCCAGCCCCAGAGGATTTCTAGGGGACCAGAGCAGGAGCTGTGGAATCCAACCTCACCCCCAGACGGTTGGCTTTCTTGGGGCTGCTGGTGTCCATTCCCTCTGGCCCATTGTCTGGCTTCCCTCCGCACAAAGGTACAGTGAATAATTTATTGCTCCCCGCCCTGTGGGAGGCAGCCTTCGGAAAGGGCTCTGTGTTCAGCCGAGCTTCTGAATCCCACCAGAGGAGGCAGGCAGTTCCAAGCTGTGCCCCACGAGTCAAGTTGGAATACAGGGGGGTGGGGGTGGGGCCCCCCGACACACCTATGATCTACTCTGGCTCTTTCCAGATGGGATACCCCCACCCCCTGCCTTAGGAAACAGTGGGCACCGGCTTCAGCTGTGGGCTTCCGAAATTCCAAATGGGTGGGGAAAGGGACCAAGAGTGAGGAGTAGGGTGGGGTGGGGAGAGGCCCTGGGAACTGGCAGAAAGGGGGAAGGCTTTGTCAGGGAGGAGGGCTCTGGGCTGTAGCTCGAGGCTGCCTGCCTGGAGAACCAACTGGAGTCCTGCCATCGGGTCTCAGGGCTGCGTCCAGGCTGTGCCATGTGGGCGGGGCACCTGGCACCCCAGTCCCTTCTCTGGCAGAGGAGGCCCTGAGGCCTGGGCTGTTAGGTGGAGCAGTGGTTCTCAACCTTCCTAATGCCACGACCCTTTCATACAGTTCCTTGTGTGCTGGTGACCCCCCCGACCATAAAATTATTTTTGTTGATCCTTCATCACTATCATTTTGCTACTGTTATGAATTGGGTGACCCCTGTGAAAGGGTCGTTTGACCCCCCAAAGGGTTGAGAACTGCTGCCTTGGAGAGAAGTTAGGTCCTCAGGGGAGGCGGGGTGTGCTCAATCGTGAATAAGAACCATGGGGCGGGCCAGTGTGGGGGATTGGATGGTGGGAAGAACTTGGAGTTGTGATGCTGGGCTTCTGGAGTCGGAGGTGGGGGTGGCAAAGAGGAGGGGTGAGTAGAGGGTAGATGTCCTCAAACGTCAGACCCCGCTGTGGAGCCCTCCCCCCTTAGAACCCTGAGTGGCACGTGCCTGGGCATCTGTGGCCTTGCCCACCTTAATCCCTCAAATACAACACGTGGGCTGTGTCCCTGCACCTGCTCCTCATCCGAAAGAGCAGCCTGCCTCTTCCGTGCTCCCCACCTGCTAAGGACCAGCTGAGGGCGGTCATCCCCGGCACCCACCGACTCGAGGGCATCTAATGACAGTCACAGCAGACAGCAATTTATAAAGTGCGTCCGTGTCGTGGTGGACTGAGACTGTCATGGGATTCACAATAACCGATGTGCATTGAGAGGAACCCGGGGGGTGTAGTGAGTACGAGTTGGGCTTCAAGGCCAGCAGTTGGAAACCACCAGTCGCTAGAGTTGCGGTCTGGGTTCTACTCTGTCTGGTAGGGCTGCTCTGAGACAGCATCGGCTCCATGGCCGTGCGTTTGGCTTTGGGGTGATGTGCTTGAGTACATTTTCTATTGGTCAGGCAATGGGTAAAGCCCTGGGCTGAGACATTTCTGTTGGTGACCCTGGGAGGGAGCTACTGTTAATTCCCCTAGAAACTGGGGCTCAGAGGGCTACGGTGTCTTGCTCAGGTGGCACGGCTCCACAGTGGGGGCAGGACATCCAGTTCGTGCCTGTGTGAATTAGAAACCTCCCTTCTGGGCCTGCCTCCTGCTTAGACTGCTGATAGGCAGTCCTGTCTCCTTGACTCTAGCTGCTCAGAGAGGGCACTTCATGTGTAATAGCCTGATAAGGAGTCTTCTCAAGGCAAAGGCTGTGGGGCCCAGGAAAGAAGCAGGCTGGGATCCCGGGCTCTGAGCTCCAGCCTCAGCTGTGTGCCCCTGGGGAGCTCAGCCCCCTCTCTGGTCTTGTTGCCCCGTGTCTGCAGTGAGTGGGTCAGTGGCCAAGGCCCCCATAGCTCTAGCTTTCTGCAGTGTCCTTCATGACCCTGGAAGGAGGAGCAGGCGACCACATCACCAGGGGCAGAGGATGTGGTAGGATGGGTGGTTGAGGTTTTTGGCCAGGCCTCTGTCTGGGCCACCAGGCTCTGCGCCTAGCTGCGGCCTCACCCCAAAGGAGGGTGGTGGCCTGGGCTGCAGGCAGCATGGTCATTAGCTGGGCATAGATGTCCCTATGATTGAGAGCTGGCTGGGCCGGGCCAGGTTGGCAGGGCTAGAGGCAGACTGGCCCGGCCACAGTGGGGTCATTGGCCGGGCGGCTGGCAGGGGAGCCAGCTTCTCCTCCCGGTGCAGCCTCTCTAGGCCATGGCCAGTGCCCATTGGGCATGGTGCTTTGTAGGCCAAGCCTGGCCCTTTCTCCTGTCGCTGTGGTTGTGGGAGGGAGCAGTGAGGAGCCCAACCAGGCCGGAAGATACCACCATCTGGAAGCTTCCAGGACTTCTCTCAAACAGGCAGAATCAGACCCTCCTCCCTTGCTCATCCAGAGCTCCCTCCACCCACTGATGGCAGTCTGGGGCTTGGGGATGGATACCCCACCCCCACCCATCCCACACATTCCCTCTTCCACAGGGTGCCCAGTAGTGCTCCACCCCAGAGGAGCAGCCAGGCCGGTAGAGGACTTCCCAGCAGGTCCCAGGGCAAGTTACTCAGCCCTTGTGCTTGTCTCCTCCTCTGTAAAGCGGACAGGTAATAACAGGGCTCTGAGGGTAAATGAGCTGGCAGGAAGGGGCTGCCCGGCCCGGCCCACAGGCAGACACTCCGTCAGCATGAGCCCCCTTGCCTGTCCCCTCCCTGTCCTTGTCAATGGAGTTGACTCAGTCAGAAGCTGATTAAAGAGTCCAGCAAAGGATGCCAGGAGGAGGGCATGCTGGACTTCAGGGAGGACTTCTGTGGCTGCCTGCATGGCAGGTGGG